TGAAGAGTTTGCTGTGTGTTAGCAAAGCATGCATTCCCCCTTTCTGCCATGAGATGGCCCCTTTCATCTCCAATCAATGAAAACTCTACTTATGTTGAGAATTTTCCCTGAGACCTGCTGGGAAAGGGACTTATGAGTGGATTATCAAGACGAAAAGTGACTTACAGTATAGGTAATTTTAAGGACATATCAATGTCAGAAAAATAGACCTGCCTTTAACAAAATACTAAGAGTTCAGCAAAGAGGGTAGATTATTGTGGATTGAAGTAAACAATCAGAGAAAGCTTTGTAGAGAAGATGATGTGAGCTGGTCTTTTAAAAAATTATTTTTGATTTTCAATTACAGTTGATATACAATGAAAGATGTGTAGAACAGCACAAGGACATTCAGGGCAGGGCACAGAAGAAGAGGGGGCACTGCATGGTTGGAACAGTTAAGGAAATAAACACCAGAGTTCAAGTGCATGAGGGAGAATTGGCGAGATCAGACAGTGGAAAGTCACGGACACAGATTCTTACAACAAACAGTACACGTGCCGCCCCTCGGAACTCAGAGCCGCCCACCTACCCTGCCGTGCCTGGCTCATTGCAGCTCACTGCTCTTTCTGAAGTCCTGTCCTGTCACTCTGTTGGTTAAGAACCTCTAGTGGCTCCAGCCAACCCTATCAAGTTCAGACCTTGTTCAAGTTCAAGTAGTGTAACAGGAACACACAGAAGCAGTTTTGTTTCCCTGATCAGTGAGCTTAGGAAACACAGGACCTGCCATCATCTACAGTACATTTTTTAAGTCAAAATTCTATGATCCTGGAGTTTCAAATATACATACTGTCATGTCAGTAACGATAACAAGCAATCTATAATATATATTTCCATCTTCCTTTTTTTTTGCTTCACAAGTGCATATATGTAAGTATATGTGCATTTAGTCATTAAAATGTTTGGAAAGGTAAAGAAAATGTTAACAGTTATTACCTCTGAGTAGTGAAATTTTCTTTTGACTTATCTGTATTTTTAGCTTTTATGAAAAATTAGTAAATATTACTTCATACTAAACAAAAGTTACTAATGGAAAATGGACTTAGTTCTCCTCTGTGTAAAATGGGGATGTAGAAGGGCTGGTGAGCCCTCAGTGAGTGTGAAGCTCACTGACGACAGCCAGTCGAAGTTTACAAGTTCTTAAAAATGAGCAAGGTCGTTGGAAATAACCATGGCAACATCCTTTAAGGAAGTTCAGTCTTCCAGCTGGCCTGAATCTGGGGCAGGGAAGAGAGCATTGAAAACAACAAAAAAAAGTTTTCTCCTTCCACCTTCCAGATTCAAGTCAAACAGAAAGAACTCGAACCTGTAGCAGGAGCTCTCAATCTGAGCTGCTTGGATAAACCCCTGAAATTGAATGTGAACTTGTGCATATTTACACATGTGTACAGTTTCCAGGAGAGGGTTCTTGCTCATAAAAGGAAGTTAAGAACTAAGATGAAGACCTGGAGGGTCTTTCTATTTTCAGAGGATTGTGAGACAAGGCGCTTGTTTTTATTGCTAAGACTGCTTAAGTCAGTCAGCTTTACAACTGAACAGTTAAAAATGACAGTGAAGAATCCATGGGGAGGGAGCTACTTACACCCAGAAGTACTCATGTGTGACTGATGAAAAACTTACCAGAAATAATGCATCCAACCGGATGACATTCCCTGATACTAAATGTCCTCGGTGATGCCGCTCAACATGTCACTGGAATTTCCTTCAGAGCTCGTGACATATTCTTTTGAATTGCCTCAACAATGACAAATCTTGCTTGTTGGGGCTGAATTCGGGTTTTGTCAAATGCCAAATGTTACCAAACATAAATAAAGAGGTGAGCATGTTGGGCAAATACTCACTTTTGGCTACAAATGAGTAAAGGTAAATCACAAGACATTTTCTTAGTTGACTTATTTATGTGACTAAGCATTTACGAAAACGTTTTAAATAATGACAACTTTGGGCTTTTGATGCCTGTTTTGTTTTTATTCTTTCTACCCAGAGTTAATTTTTTTTATTTTTGTTTTTTCTTCTGTGAAACGGGCAGATATATCGATGCAGCTAATGCTTTGGAGCAAGAAACTAAGCTGGGGTTACGACGCTTTGAAGTCTGCGACAACATTGACCTTGAAACTATTTTGATGGAGTATGAGAGCTATTATTTTATAAAATTTCAGAAATACCCCAAAATTGTCAAAAAGACATCAGACACAGGTACATGGCTATTTTGTAGAAATAAAACCTTATCTCATCTTTAAGATGAGCATTTCTTCACTTGACTCCTGGATAGGTGCTGCCTCTTACGCTGCACTGAAAGAATAGACTGCAGCTTCTCTTAGACCCGGTGCAGGCGATTTAAATATGATCCTCTGGACATGGACATTCCTTTAGTTATATTGGCATTTGTTTGAGGAACGTGTGTTTTAGGATAATGAAAGCAAAATCCCACTGTGTCACAAGTACTTTTTTTCTCAATTCCGGTTTACATTCGATACGATTTTGCATTGGTTTCAGGTGGACAGCACAGTGGTTAGACAATCATACACTTTACAGGTACTCTTTAGAAGTCCAACATTACTTTCATTTTTTTAGAGACAGAAAGAGCTGTTAGAAGAGGATAAATGACAGAAGACTCTTTTCTTGTTAGGAAGACCTATTATCTATCTTGAAAATAACATGAAAATGAGTATTGGTGAAGCTAATAGCTCATGTATAGATAATGAAATGCTTTTGAAAGCCATCAATCCAGATAATAATCAATATTTTGCAAAGACCCAGTATAGGTTAGCAGTCAAGGAGGCTGGCTGGAGGAAAGATCTAAAGTAAGGGCCCTGTGTTTCGTAGTAACATTGGCTTAGAAGTCTGTAAGTGGGGGAAGTAATTATAAACCAAGGGAGATCATTGTCCTGTTTACAAGGCACTTGTTAAGCCACAGACTTTAACATTTCATGTGGGGACCAGGAAACCAAGAGGAACATCAATTAAAAATAGCCAGGACTGAGTCTCAGGGCTGGAAGGGGTTTGAGAGAGAGAGGGGTTATCTGAGCCCCCTTCCAGTGCAGGCCTCAGAACTCAGAGTCCTTGGCTGGTGGACCGGGGTCCTGGCAAAGAAAGCACCGACTCATAGCCACTGGATCACCAGAACTATTCTTTACAGGATCCTATTTCTCAATTGCTAGTTCTGATCGAGCTTGGCAATGCATTCTCCTGGGATACGGCACTACATCTTTATGTTAAAGTCAACCGGCAGAGTACGAATGATGAGCGTTCCCTGCCAGACTCATGAATCACCCAGGTGCCCACAGACCATAGCAAAATGTTGTCGAGTTCATGAAAAGCTAGTGAAATGGTACCTACGAAGCTAGCCCATGTTGGAGTTGTCTGTGGGTCCGTGGTCTCCGAGAGGTTTAATATCTAAGGAAACGTTTGGGAAGCCTGGGCGTCTTTCTCTTCACTGGTCATTTCACTTCTCTGTAGATAAGAGTAGCTTAGATTTTTTTAAATTCCAAAAGGCTGTGACACAAACTTAAAACCATGTAAAACAACTAATGTACCTGAGAAATCACTTTCTCTTAAAAATTAAATTCTTTCCTTTTCTTCCAATGTCTGTTTTGCCACAGCAGAAAGTAATTTACCACCAAGAAGTGGAGGGAAGGCCAGAAGGTAAAGTAAATGGTACTTCGCCTTGACCAACTCAACTCTAGGAGTTTGTGGGACCCTTTCCAGAAGATTCTCCAGTGTGGCTCCATGACTGTCCACCAGCAATACCAGGCTGTGGTCGTGTGACTGTGGTGGGCCCAGCCATGCATTCCCTTCATGATACAGATATCCAGGACATGGGCCAATGTCTGCAGTTGTCCTGGTTTTACGGCAAATAATCACATCTACTGGCTCTGTCTTTCTAGGCTCTGGTGTGAAAAGGCTGGGTCTCAGAGATGAAAGGGCCTGGGTTCACTCCCAGGCTCTACTGACAAGCTAGGAGCAGGTTTCCGACGCATAGCGAGTTCCCAGCACACGGTGCATGTCCAAGCAATATTATTTTCCCCTTTGAAATCATCCCGAGTTTCTCGTGCTCGCCCATGTCCTGACCCGTGTGAAGAGAGTCAGGTCTTTCTTTTCTCCTCCTTTTCTGACACTCACCTTACATTCCTTTCTCTAGTTTCTCAAATCCAAGTCTCATTTTGGACTTGAAGCACCTGACGGAGCCCCTCTGTGTCCTGACCCTTCTCAGTAGACACACGGTCCCACCACTCTTGCCTCCACGTCCTCCGTGTTCCTTCTTCCCACTCCTGACCCACACCCACTGTCACAGTCTCTTCAGAGACAGCCAGTGCCAGGGCACAGCTGCCCAGTGTGGCATAGCTGTGGGACGTGAAAGTCTGTAACTTTCTGTTGTTATAACAAGGCCCCGACCTCAGGGGAAGGTCAAAGTGGGGTTCCAGTAGGGGTCCCACAACCATTCAGTCAGTGAACAAAATGTTTTTAAATCTTTGCAGTTGAAGAAAACTTAGATTATACTCATAAGCAACTCGGTAGGTCTTCAGGAGGTACGAGCTCCACGTGCCCTGCTGAGTTCCCTGCTCTCGGGACTCCAGCCCCTGGTCTGCAGCCTAACAAGGAAAAAGCAGACACCTCACAGGGCTGATGGCACCACTTATGAAGTGGCCATGGGGCCCCACACACATCGTGATGGTACAGTAGTAACACTGCGCCCGAGGCTACCCTTGCTCTGTGCTGTCCCTTAGGAGCAGTTTCATTGTCTTGACCAGTGTTATTCTTTTACTTATAGTTTCCATAAAGCTAGTCAGACTCTGGTAATAAATAACTACTTGTGAATAAAATCAGCGAGGAGCAATTTATAAGGCCAGCTTTGGGGAACGCATTTGGATTCTGATTATTTTTCAGTCATACATTCATGCTTGGAATTTGCTCAGCATTTCTTACCTGGCAGAAAACTCTGTGAGCGAATGTCATTGGAGCGCTTTGCTTCCCTTTTGGGATAGAGCTTGGCGGCTGGAAGTTCCTTCAGCTCTTCTCTGCGTAGATGTTTGTATCAATAAACATGAAGGTTGGATAGCTAGTGGCTGGAGTCAGGAAGGATAACTAGGAAAATAACAAATGGTGCTTGTTTACAATTTTATACTCAAAGATAGTTGTTGAAACGAGAGGTTGTGTCATGAGATTGGCTATTAACAAATGGAAGTGCCTTTTTCCAATTCTTGTATCTCATACCAGAGAGCAAGCTCCCCGTTTAGAGATTTGCTGACAAATTAGCTGACCCAAAGGAGGAAAGGTTCTTTAATGTGACAAATGACAGCATTAGAATGCCAAAAGATCCTGATAGCTTGGGAGATGGGCCCAAAATAATAAGAGGAAATTTAATGAAGTATGGTGTAAGCTGTAACCAAGGATTCACAACAAACGGCTCCCCCATTTCAAGGCAGAGACCTAGGAATCTGAGTGAACTGCAGGCGCAGTGCAAGCCCACAGTGTGGTGTGATGGCCATTGTGGCCTCGGGTCTCATCAATAGAAATAGTGTCCAGAAAGTAGGAGGCAACTGTACTGCGGTCAGAGGCAGTGGATAAAGCGAAGGTGACCAGGATGAGTAAGAATCTGGAAGCCAGATGAGCTTGGGAGTGATTGGAGCAACTGGGGGGTGTTTAGCTTGAGAAACAGAAAACTTGGGGTGGGGATGGTCCCTAAAGCAGTGCAGTGGCTGTCTTCCTCTCTGAAGAGAGATTGGAACTTTCTTTGCAAATTTCACAGGGCACACCTAGGACCGGCGGGTGACTAAAGTTAATGCGGGGTGAACTTGGTTCCATATTAGGAAGAATTTTATCATTGTTAGAGCTGATTGGAAATGCACTGCATATTAGTGTACTTGTGTTTGGTTGTGTCAAAGCAAATGTGTGAGCCAACTGCCTCCAGTAGGAACTCACAGTGGGAAAAGAGACTCTGAGGCCCCTGAGAGCCTTACATGGGTGTTGATGCAAATTTAACTATGTGTGTGTGTGAGTGTATTCTGTTCATTTAAATTAATGCTGTTCACAAGGGTTTGCACTAGTAAATATTTGGTGTTCATTTCTACATATTTCATTGTTGTGCTAGGAAAAGGCCTGAGGGATAGCTCTTCTGATTCTTAATTTACAAATGAAAGCCAGACGTCCTGAGAACTGGCAACTGCTCACCTCTCATGACATTTGTCCCCACAGGCCTGACACTGGGCTGCCATGTTCCAACATTGGTGGTGTTGGTGCAGATGTTCTTGCTGGGGAAATAACTATGCATTCATATCAGACATGAATAACTTCTTCCCTCCTACAAAGAAATGGAGTTGAAATTGTAGTTCTCTGAGACCACTCAGAGAACGGGGAGAAAAACTCTAGAAATTCCCCCTGCAAATGCCTCTCACATGTAAGGACAAGAAAACGGAGAGAACCAAAGAACTAATGATTTGGGCATTCATGTTCTGCTCCCAAGCAGGTCCTCTCTGTATTTACGTGTAACATCAACACAGCCAAACGCACTGACGGCCCGACAGCAGGGTCCCTTCCCAGCCATACCTCTCATCCCCACCTCGGTTAGCCACTGTTCCGACATTGTTGTGCCTGAAGTACCCAATTCTAGTGAAAAGTTGTTTTACAAATATGAGTGATCTGTGACAACAGAGATGAGGTAAGGTTGCTTTTCTTCCATGAGCACCTTTCGATGTTTTTTAATCCTCACCCAAGGATATGTTAATTGATTTTTGGAGAGAGAAAAGGGAGGGGGAGAGAGAAGTGTGGTGGGGGGAGAGAGAGAGATGTGGGAGAAACGTTGATCAATCAGTTGCCTCCCCTGTGCGCCCTGACTGGGGATGGAACCCACAACCTTTCTGGTGTATGGGATGATGCTCCATTCATCTGAGCCACCTGGCCAGGGCCCCTTTTGCTGTTCATTGTACACAGTGTGATGGGAGGCATTTCAAGTGGTCAGGGCTGCACCCTGCATCCTGGATAAAGCCATGGACAAATTCCTGGGTTGGTTCCCTCCTTCCCTCCCTCCCTCCCATCCTTCCTTCCACATTGTACGTTTTCCATGACCACTCCTGGGCTTCTCAATGCTCGTTAATTTCAGTGGAAGATTCCTTCCTCTCCTGTACCTTGCTCTGGTCTGATTGCTGCTCTTTAAAAAAATGCGGAAAGAAACAATGGAAGGATGTTTGTAAAGCAATGTGTTTTGGGGAAAATAAAGTTATTTACAGAAGGGCTGAAGTCAGGGGGCATGAAAGGGAAATGAAGAAAATGAGTTGGGGGCCCTCCAGGAGGAGGTAGGCCCTCTAGCCTGGTCTGGGAGGACCCCAATGCAATGGATGGACTGAGTGAGTCAGGGCTTGGATGGGCAGGACGGGGGCTGGAGCACACAGAAGGGCCCCATTGTGGTGCACCTGCCATCGTTCAAGAACTCTCTTCAAGTGTGCTCCACAAATCATTTAGCTACCTCGAACTAAGTGATTAGAATAGTTTCCTTCAAGGTCTTTGTTTCCTCCCCTAGGGTGATGAGTGACAATTGTCAAAATCTTCCCAAGATCAGTCAGCTGAGGCCACGGTCCAAAACCACGGTGGGGAAGCCAGGGGAAGCCAAACCCCTCCATAAGGAACATCCTAAACAGGTTGGGAATGCTTTGCTTGGTGTTGGTAAAATTGCAGGTGATTGAGAACTAGCCCCAAGAAAATAGTCACATTTAAAAAATTTATTTATTTGAGGACCTATGTTTTTTAAATTGCTGTATAATTTTACTAAATTGCACATTTTCTTCCAATTTGCTGGGTTAAAACCACAGGCAAATCCCTAGACTTCCTAATTTTCTCAATATGTGTAGGATGGGTAACAGGCCTTGCAGGGTGAGCCCTGGGCCCAGCCATAGCAGGAGGGCCTGGTTGTTACAGAGTTCGATCCTCCCATTTCAGGTAACTGTAGTTGGTGGGTCTTCCTGTCCTGAAGCACATTCCTGGGCTCCTAAATATAGGCCAGGGGTAGTCCTGTGTGTGGCCGAGCTTGAGAGTCTCAGAATCTCCTGTTGGGTTTTTCCCAAATGCACATGGTTGGTCCCCACCTCAGAGTTCCACACTGTGCTTTCTTGGGGAGGAGATGGGCAACAGGAAGAGAGAGTCCGAACCTCCTGGTTCAGAACAAATCATACCAGGTTTCCAAGGAAAGAAAACCAGTAGAAATTGTGAAACAGAATCAACACCCAAGATGCCTGGTGGGATAGAAAGAAATAATCATGAAACCAGTTGGTCAAAGTTGGTCAAAAGGAGCGTCTCACCCTCAGAGAGGTGGGCTGGTCTGGCCATCGCATGGTCTGACCCAGGCAGAAGGGAAGTGGAGAAGCAGCAGGATCAATCCCACGGGAGCTGGCTGACTCTGCTGCCTCTCCGAACTCAGCCACCCCTGGCCACAAATGCCTCTGGTCATGGGAGAAAAGGCAAGCTGGCGAGTGGTGACGGATTGAGATGCAACTGTTTCTTCCACTGGAAAAGCTGCTCAGAGCCTCCGGTTTCCAAGGCCAGCTCCTTCCATGGCACAGGCAGATAATTAATTCCTCTTGGGGCTACACAGAAGTGGCCAAATTACACGTTGGGTTTCCCATGTACAGAACTGATCTCCAGCATTGGATTTGGCATGATGGGATAGGCAATTACAACCAGCATCTCTGTGTTGCCTTCCACAGCTGACTTCTGCCTGTCTTCTCTTTCTTTAGGAGGCTGTTAATAATGCTTGCACAGAGACCACTGACTTTGGCTTAAGCATATCAGGAATCAACAGAGGCGGCAGAGAAGAAAACATCCATCCACACAAAGTAAGTGGAACTCATACACCTGACACCAAAAGGGGAATTTTTATTTTCCTTTTTAAAAGTGAAATAAAAACATTATTTTTGCCTAACAGAAAAGTTAATATGTAATGATCACAGGTCGGCTGTGAGGGGAAGTGGGAAGTGGCTGTGAAGATTCGAACCCTCTGGGTTCTGGTCTGAATTTTCCTTCTGGATGAATGGACTTGAATGAACGTCCCCATCTCCGAGTTTTCTCCTCTGTAAGTTCAGGGGTTTGGAAGAGATGGCTTCCAGTGTTCCTTGCAGCTTAAACCTTTTGTGATTAAAATGATAAACATGGGCATGACTGTTCTGCATTACATAAGAAGCTGTGGTGGCATCCTCATTTGTTCCTGCCCCGTCACTGGGTTGATTAGTGGTATCGCCTTTCAACTTGGAGGTCTGGCTACTCCCAGTGAATCATGGAACCTCTGTTACCAGAGAGCTGATCTTGTCCTTGATAGATATTCTACCTCTTTCATGATGAACCTCATGTCCTGATTTGTAAATCATAATTTCTCCAACAGAAAAGACCCAGTTGAGTGGATACAGGCAAAAGGCAGGTAAAACATGTTGATTGGAAACGAAAAGCAGCAACACCAGCGTACCTATTGATTGTAACTTCCGGGATCATATTTCTTTAAGAGTCATCTTGCTTTCTTTGGTCACATTCTCAAACTCCAGGACGGCGGGCTTACACCCAGCTGACTCTTCTCAGCTCAACCCAACTCTGGGTTGTTCATGTTTGGAAGGGAAGCTGGCAGCATCTCCTTGGAAAGCAAGGGTGCCATCTCATTGGCCTGAACTGGCTCCTTTTCAGGACCTCAACTACATGAGTGATTGCTGGAGATACTACTACTCGAATCAGTGCCTCCCATGCAGAAATGGTCCCTTGTTCACCTTTAGAATTTTCATTGTATTTTCAGGCAGTTTTGTCCCTAACAGTTTTATGGCATTGGTTTCTCTCCTGAATGTCTCAAGTTCATATGAATGGATGTTTCTGATCAGGTCATAAGGAAGGGACAATTTAACCCAGCACTTAACCTTTGAAAGAGTCTGGCTATAAATTCTCTTTCGGCAGAAATGTTCTCAGGGTAAAATGTACAGGATTTTCTCCCTAGCATTTCAAATGTTCATAAGCTAAATGAGGGTATATGGCCAGGGGGCTGATCTCCAAAATGTGTCTCTCATTGCCACATTTGGGGCCTCGGCTTCAGGATTCCCTGGTTCCCCTTGCAAATTTACTAGGCGTATTGCTCTTCAAGGTAATTAGTGGCTTTGGAGTCAGCTTGCCTAGGTTCAAACCACAGCTCAGACCTTCCCAGCTGTGTAACCTTGCTCAAGTTGTTTAATCTCTCCAAATCTCTCTCCTCTGTAAAATGGGAATAATCATACGGCTGCTTTAAATGTCATAATGAATGGAGGGCCTGGTAGGGTGCCTAATATACGATAAACACTCAATAAATGCCAGCTACAGTTATTGTTATTTGTTTTCCCACACATCCTTCCTTCTTCCTTCTTCCTAGGGGGGAGACAAGAAGGTGTTGGAAGGGGTGTGGGAGACAGGTATCTGAGTTTGAATTCTGGCCTGAAGTCACATGTTAGCTGTGTGGCCCCGGGCAGATCACTTAACTTCCCTGGCCTTACCTCCACATCTAGGAAACTAGGACGCCACGCCTGGTAAGCAGAGGTGTTGTCAGAATCAGAAATCTCCAAAAGTACAGATTGGTAGTTACAAAACCGTCATGGGGATGTAAAGTACACAGTAGGAAATATAGTCGATAATATCGTAATAACTGTGTATGGCATCAGGTAGGTACTGGAGATAACGGGGGGAACCCTTTGTAAATTATATAATTGTCTAACCACTAATTAATACAAGATAATATTGAATGTAAACTGTAATTTTTAAAAATTTAATTAAAAAAGAATTGGAAATAATCTTCACAAGGTTCCTTGCACACCTATTTTGTATCAGGGGCTCTGCTGGGTAGTGAACGCTCATGCCAGTAAATAGGAACGATTATTGCTCTTGTGCCAGTCTGTTCTTCCTGTGTGGGATGTTCCCGAAGGAGGAGGCAGCACAGGGGAGACAGACATGTAAGGAAGCAGGTGGCAGGTGTCAGGAACTGAAAAATGCTGGTGAATTTCTATGCAAACCAACTTCATTCTGAAGAATTTGGTTACAACTTGTTTTTTATTCGAGAGTGCCCCAACCTCAGGAAATTATGGTGTTCATTATTAGTGCAGGTGCTTTTTGAAGCTTCACTTTAAGTTTGCCCTACACATCAAGGAACATAAATCTGTCTTGGTTTAATGAAGCCGAGCCATTAAAGATAGGCTTTCCTCAAGTTTCCATGGTGTAAATAACCACTGTTCCCTTTCAGGGCCAAATCATTGACTTCCGAGGGCTGCTCACAGATGTTATCAAAGGAACAACCAGCAAACTTGGCTTGAACAGCTTCGACTGTAACCCAGACCCCTCAGTAAGTGGCTAAAATGTAACATTCATCTTGTAAACTGCCAAAATCCAGAATAACTTAAAAATACAATTTTGAGTCCAGAGAAGCTTCGAGATTGGTTGGAAGGTTCTAGCAGCCTGCCACCATTTGTGTCACCGTGACCCATGCACTGTTTTTCTTCCTAAGTCACCAAGCAATATCGTAACGGGTTTTGTGTTCCCATCGTCAGGAACGCCTGCTGAAGCCTCTGAGTGCCTTCATTGGCATGAACAGTGAGATGCGAGAATTGGCAGCGGTGGTGAGCCGGGTAAGATCCGATATTCAATTCACAAATTTACGGAGGTGGATTGGGGCTCCTGGAGCATCGTGGGCTGCTTCTTTTATTAATGACAATAAATATGATCATTTATTTATAAAGTGCCCCCACTTGCAAAGGCTCTCATATTGTTTAGAGACACAATAATGCATGATAAATAAATTATAGAATCAAAATTACAATAGAAAAAGCCTACCATCTCACTATGGAGGCCAAGAAAACCAAAAGAGAAAAAGATTTAGAAAGTAAGGGACAGGTGAAAGGTTGTAAGCTGAGCCAAGAGTTAAGGAAAGAAAAGTATCTTAGAGAAAGAAAGAGCCTGTCTGGCTCTTGTTTGAATAGTCAAAGCCTAGAAATAAAGATGTCAGGAATCTGATGATTTGTAAGTGGAAATCTCCATGAAAAGCAGGATTAATAGGAAAGAGCTTGTCATTCAGACTACTGATGGTTGAACTCTGCCCCCACCCCGCTCTGCCCAAATCTAAGGCAGGGAAGTCTTCTGGTTAATGACACAGGGTCTGGAATTGGTTGACCCGGGTTTGATGTCTATACCCTCTGCTTTCTGGCTGTGAGACTTTGGACAAGTTCCTTGGGAGTGGAAGAGATTCCTGAGTTATGGAGACTTTCTAATTTCTAGCAATCTTGTATTTCAGGAAAGACTGAAATCTAGGCCAGCTCAGATAAATGTTTAAAATGATGCAAAAACCTGCTCAGTGACTGAGTAGTTTAGGGTTCCCAGATCTCTCCTTCAGTCCAGCAGTTGCTCACCACATGCTTACTATGTGCCAGCGTGTGCTGTAGGCTGGAACACAATGGTGAACCCATCAACATGGTCCCTGTGCAAGAGTTTCCTGTCCCACGGGCAAGGTGGACTTTGAGAGTGTAAAGGCGGAGCATTTGTGCCAGAGGGAAGGGAAAGTCTTAGGGAAGAAGATATCCAGGAAATAGCCACATGAAAAAAAGTATAAGATGGATGGTGGGGGCATTCTGGGCAAAGGTACATACATACCTGTGAAACTGTGTTGATTGGGCAGTGTTTCTATTGAGCCAAGTAAGAGGCAAGTAAGATGCAAGGAGTGCTGAGAAACGGGGCTGGAGAGAGAGGCCAGGGTTCCAGAGTAAGGGCGCAGTGAACAGGGCCCGGGGCCAGGAACCTGCCTGTAGGAGGTGGGGAATCTTTCGAAGGTGTCCATTGAGAATGGGATATTCAAATGTGCTTTTAGATAACTTGCTCTAATGAGAGTGTGGTGGGTGGATATTAAAGAAATGGAGATAGGGAGACCAGCTCTGAAGTTAATAACAGTGAGAGAGGATGAGGGATTGAGCCAGGTTGTGGTAACTGGGATGCATAAGAGAGCAGAGAAAAATATTTTTCATGGCCACAGAAATCAATACTCTCATTGCTATTTCTGCAAAAGGATAACATGACTAGTGATGATAGAGTTGGAGAATGGAAGTGGCCTGAAATGATTCCATCTGGAATGCTTTCGATAGTTCCATGGGAGGCAGTCATTCAGCATCTGCTTGAATGCTTACAGTGACAGGGAGCTCACCACTTCATGAGGCAGCCCTGTTGAGTGCTGGTGGATAACATTTGATTCCTATAAGGAAAACCTTCTTATTGGGAAACTGAACACTACCATGTAGAACTCAATGTCAACATTAGAAGAGGGCCAGAAATGCTGCTATTATCCATGGGTGGCTGGTGGACATGCAGATACATGGCAGTTTCTCCCAAGATCTTAGAAGACATGGCAGTAGACAAGACTTTTAAAGACATGGCAGTTTCTCCCAAGATCTTAGAAGATGGAGTCTTTTCTCTGTCGCCCCATCCAAGAGTGGATCATGCATATTAGGCATGACCCAAATCACTTGTATAAATAGTATCTCTAATAAAGTCATCCCTTGTGGGTGAAGGGAACCGGGAGGATGGAGGTCAGGAGTTGGAGCGTGACATCTCACCAGCATTTTAAACATGGATTTTTATATTTTTGAACTCGTGCATGCATTATTTTAAAATTAAATAAGTATAAAAATTGTTTCCAGATTGTTCTGCAGTCATCGGAACAACTTTGGAAAAGAGGCTTTTTAAAACAATGTAACGCCCTAGATATTCAGTTTGCCTGAAACAGCTCCTACTGAAAAAGGCCCCTGAGTAACAGTTCTGAGGTGTCTTGTGAAATTGCAGTTTGGAAACTGTAAATGAGTTATCAGTAAAAGCTACCTTAATTGATTACTGCAGGTGGTTGCTACAGGGCTCTTTTCAAAAGGGGAAAACTCACTTTTGCTTGGTTGTTGGCTTCCCTGAATTTTGTAGAAGCAATTCCTCTTGATGGAAGGAGGGAGTGATCACTAGGGAAAAAGAGAAATTGGCTTCAGAGGAGCATTATCTCTTCATGCAACAAATTAAGAAAGTGTTTACGAGATCAAGGAGCAAGAGAGAGTCCAGGCGCTGGCTAGGAGCTGTTTTGCAGTAAAAGCTAATGTAATTTGAAGGCATATTCTGTAGTTTCTTTGATTACGGTCATAAATCAGCACGCTTCACTATTGACTGAAGACAGGTATAAAGAGAAGTTGCATTGTTAGGAGCTTCTTTTTCCTCTAAAAGTACCATATTATATTATCAATATCTTCTTCAGGGAAAATCACTGGATATTCTTATGGTATCCCTTTGGTGAACCAATGCAAAATGACAGTGTGCATATATACATATATCTAACATCAAAATTTTTTTTATTACCAGCTCTTTATGTCCTATTGTAAGTCAAGTATTCTGCAGCTCCTGTGTTTATTACAGCTGTGGAGGAAAACATTAGTTTTAACAAAATGATCAAATGTGCATTGCAGGACATTTATCTCCATAATCCAAACATAAAGTGGAATGACATTATTGGCCTCGATGCAGCCAAGCAGTTAGTCAAAGAAGCTGTTGTGTATCCTATAAGGGTAAGGATGGGAAGCCTCTTGGGGGTTATTTCTGTTCATTATCCACTGGACAAGCTGTATGTCATACACCCAGCAGGGAGAGAAGCGCAGGATGATTTTCTGTCCATAAGCTAAACTTCTGCCTGTGTCACTATTCTTTGTCCATCTGGAGTACCAAGGCCCAGTCCATCCTAGGCAGTTGGAAATGTTACATGTGGGTTCAAGGTAGGCATCTGCTCTAAGTGATAATATTAACTCCAAATATATGGTTTGTCAGTTCCTAGAGATTGGTTCAAATCAGTCTGCCTCCCTAAAAATGCATAATAATAGAAAAACTTCCTGTAGGACAGGGCCACTCACTTGCTTTCAGAGATCTACCTTCCTTAACATACACACACACACCCATCATCTGGGGCTTTGCTTTTGGCTGGCTGTAAAGGCTGGACAGCCCCTTCCAGGCCACTGTCCAGTAAAGCTAGCATTGTTTGCTCCTGACTAGGCTTTGTGTTGAGTGGCTCACTGAACAGGAAGAGAAATGGTAAACGAGACTCTCCATGTTTGGTTAACAGACGTGGATATGAGAAGTATAACAGACCTGCCCAAAATGTAGTGCCTTTGAAACAACAATCGTCTATTTGTTTGCTGTTCTGTGGGTAGGCAGTTTGGACAGGGCTCAGCGGGGCTGGCTCCTCTTTCTTGCAGATGATATTGGCTGGCCTCATTCATGTGTCTGGGGCATTCGGCAGGGTGGTTGGAAAAGATGGAGAGGCTGAGAAAGGTGGGATAAACAGGGCCCTGAGACCTCTCTCCTCGTGCTTCGCTTCCTCCAGCAGGCCTGCCAAATCCTGTTCGTTCTCATGGTGGCAGAGGGTTCCCAGACAGAAGCAAGGAAGGACAGGCAGGTCCCAATCCATGAGTATTTTCCATGTCTCTTCTTATATTCCTCATATTAATTAGTGTTATATTGCCAAGTCTTTTCTTATATTTGTTAATGTCCTTGTGATTTTCCATTGGCCAAAATCACAAGGCCAAGTCCAGATTCAAGTGGTGGAGAAATATACTCTCCCCCTTGGTTGATGGAGCTGCAAATAATTTGTGGCCATTTTTTATAATCTTACATAGCCAGGACCACAAATTTGTTTAATAACCTATTTTTATCGCTGAGCCCATACAGCTCCTGATTTTGGATGCTTCTATTCTAATGAGACAAAAATCAATAAATTTGGACTGTGTTTCCCCTCCTTTTTTCCCTGTGTTAAGACAGGTGGATAAGAAATATACCGGTGTTCAGAATTAGCAGTTTATTCACCATGTCCTCTGAGTGGCTCTCTAGTGCAGGACTTCCGGAAAAGATAGAACATCTCGTGAAACTCTCTGGATGTGTTATCTCCATGGTATTATAAGCTCTGTATATTAGAGATTTGACATTAGCATCTGCAAGATACTGATACCTAGCTATAATTTTACCATTATCTTTCCTTTGCATTGTTTCCTACCAACCCTGCTGTATCAGGGGTGTCCAACTTGGCATCTCTGGGCCACACATTAAATACATTGTGACATGTAATCATAAAAAAATCTCATAATGTTTTAAGTAAATTTACAATTTTGTGTTGGGCTGCATTCATAGCTATCCTGGGCCTCATGTGGCCTGCAAGCTGCAAGTTAGACACCCCTGCATCTAGATTGTTTGAACTTGAACTAATGAGAGAGATTCACTGAAGTCCATACGGGTCCTGTTTAGAGCTAGCGTCTCATAATGCATTCAGCACTGACTGTTCCCAACTTCTAAATCAGCCTTCGCCATAGTTTTATGCTTTCTTCACATACAAGGTCTGTCCAAAAAAAGTCCATCCATTGTTAATATAACGAGGATGGTTTACATGGCACCAGTGTATCCTGGCAGACAAGGAGAGAGGACTGGAATGCACGTGCATGAACAGTGACAACTTCACTGTACTAGTCAGTGGGGGCCATAGACGCCACTGAATGAGCATGTGCACTGTGTGGTCAACGCATTCAGAATGACTGTGTGAGTAGAGCAATAAGTCTGCATCAAATTTTGAGTAAAACTTGAACATTTCTCTGTGGAAACTATCCAGATGATTCAGAAGACCTAACTGGTGATTAGCAGCTTCATCGAGACAGTGTGCTTACTCATGCATCATGTCTCATGCAGAGTTTTTTTTTGAAATGTCAAATCACCCAGGTGACTTAGCCCCGCTATAGCCCAGATTTGGCACTCTGTGACTCCTAGCTTTCCCCAAAACTAAAATCACCTTTGAAAGGGAAGAGATTTAAGATCATCGATGAGATTCAGGGAAAACGCCATGGGGCAGCTGAGGGCAACTGGGAGAACTGTGTGAGGTCCCAAGGTGCCTACTTTGAATGGGACTGAGGTGTCACTGTCCTATGTACAGTGTTTCTTGTATCCTGTATCTTCTTCAATACATGTCTTTATTTTTCATATTACATAGCTGGTTACCTTCTGGACAGACTTTGTACACCTTTATTTGTTGGTTCTAATGCTTCTCTTAAAGTTCCCACCTGCTAGGTCTTCAAAGATTGCCAAACGTTCTGCATATAGAATTTGGGTGGGGGGGGCAGGGGCAGAAATAATGCTACACATGTAAGAAATAACTATTGTAATGCAGAGTGTAAGTACCTACACATGCCTTTCTTTCCCTTAAAAGAAGATGCTCTTTTAAAAAGCCATACAAATTAAGCTGTGCATTCCTATCAAGTGTGAAAGTAAAGTGGGGATATCTAAGATTATATATATATATATGCAGCCAGCCTTAATAAAAGGAAGCCTAAGCTCCCAGAGCTGTGCTGTGCTCGCTCCAGCTTCACTAGCTTGCCTGTGATCCAGGCGTGTCTGATGTACTGATACCAAACCTCATCACTGTTCCTTGTTCCCACAGTATCCACAGCTGTTCACAGGCATTCTCTCTCCCTGGAAAGGACTACTGCTCTATGGCCCTCCAGGTACACAGGTCTTTCTGGTTTGGTCTTGGTGTGAAGTGTGCTGGCAGAGGATGAGTTGCTCCATCTGTCCTCACATCAGGAGGGGGCAAACGAGCACTGAGCAACTTCCTCTTTTTTTTGCTCATGACACTGACTTCTGTTAGTAGTAAGCAGAGAAAGGAAGTTCAAATGCCACTCATACTTTCTCCACGTGTGTTTCTAGGTACTGGAAAGACTTTATTGGCCAAAGCTGTGGCCACAGAATGCAAAACAACCTTCTTTAACATTTCTGCATCAACCATTGTCAGCAAATGGAGAGGGGATTCAGAAAAACTTGTTCGGGTAGGAATGCTTTTTTTTCTTATTGTATAGTTGACATACAGTAAATATCCCATTAGTTTCAGGTGTACATTATAGTGATTTGATATTTACACATATTACAGAATGATCCCCACAATATGTCTAGTTACCATTTATCACCAAAGTTATTGCAATGTTATCAACTCTCTTCCTTATGCTGTCTATGACTTTTTTATAACTGGAAGTTTGTACCTCTTAATTCCCTTCTATTTTACCTGCCCCCAGCTCCTCCCCTCTTTGCTAACCACTGGTTTGTCTCATCGATACAGGAATACTTGATTTCAGAATAAAGTCCAGCAGAATACAATGGTACAAGATGTTATAACTTACTTGTTTTCACGTGATACATATGTTAGACTTTTTCCTGGATCTTGATTAACTAAAGCCCAGAAGACAGACGGACTATTATATGCAGATATTAATTATGCTCCCATCAGCAAAGCATGATCTCCCTTCCTTTGGGAATTTGACTGATGACAGCCCTTTTGTGATTCATGCAATTTAGGAATGAAAGCTGGGAAAAATGGTCTCTGAAGTGGCCTAGATTTTCCCTCATTCAAGAAGCATTTATGATGAAGCCTGTGCAGTGTATTCAGTTAAACCTTTTATGAGAGGCTACTACTGTATGCTTGTCCCTGTATTTGGTACTCAATGGAAGGATCAAGAAACTTAAAACTTAATTATTCATTCAGATGCTCTGAGCAACCCTCCTCAATAGTGCTCATTAGCCTATAGGGTCTTTTTTTCTTTCCTTAAGAGATTGTTTCCATCTTTACAATATCTCATTCATAGTTTATGATATATTTTACATGATAAAGTTTTACCTTTTGCGAATACCTGTTTATGATTTATGCTGCAATGTAAGTTGAGTCCTTCTCAGAGGTCCTGTTAAACTATTGCACTTTGTAGAATGACTGATAGGTAATCAATACTAAGTGAATACAAATATTATACATTCTCTGAAAAGAAATTAAAATATTATCCTTAAATTATGTTTCCTTCAATGACTCATTTTCAAAATATTATGGCTTCATTGGAAGGCATAATAGAGTATTTTTAAAGGGTCAATTTACCTAAAGCAACCTATTATTTACTACTTTGATATTGTTCTCAAATTGTATCAAATATGTATGTTTTTATAAATTATTATTACCCCTTCAAGACTGTAATTCATAGAAACCTATGTTGACATATTCTGTTTCTTATTATTCATCTTGAATCTAACTCGTCATTTCCAAAGATGAGGCTTGAATTTAGCTGATCTTAAAACTGTGGATTCCCTGTGATTCTCATTAGCGGGATTTTAATAAACTGAAATCCAACTAATTCGAATCCTCATCAACTTGAAGACTGTTTTTTCAAAAGTTCCATTTCTGTGTGTGAGGACCAACGCTCTTACCAAATGGCCCCAGGATCGGTTTAGATCTACCTCCTGTCATGAAAAGGGCTGTTGAGCCCTGGCTAGTATAGTTCAGTGGATTGAGCGTTGGCCTGCAAACCGAACAACTGTGGTTTGATTCCCAGTCAGGGCACATGCCTGGGTTGTAGGCCAGTTCCCAGCAGGGGACGCACAGGAGACAACCATACATTGATATTTCTCTCCCTCTCTCCTTCCCTTCCCCTCTAGGAATAAATAAATAAAATATTTACCAAAAAAAGGGGGGGCTGTTGAGAACTCCGGGCACCAGACACTGCAAGGTGCTCCGAGGAAGGTTGCATTATGCTCCCTGGACAGGACCTGCCCAGACAGAAGACTAAATTCAGACGTTTTATGAGTATTCTCAACGAAGACTAAAACTAAGTAGATTTCCTTCCTTGGTGGTGAATAGCCAGAACTCTTTCTCCTCTGTGAGCATTTTCTTTAACTAAAGTTTTCTCCTGCCTCAGTCTCATTTGGTTAGAATTCTAAGAGTGAGGAAATGACATCTCCCCTTACTTCACACTACATTTAAAAAGTAACTAATCTTTCTGAAAAAAAGTACAAAAGGGTATACAGACCCCTATGCCTTCTCCCCAGAAGCAACTATTACTATAACATACACATATCTATATATTAACATAGACATAAGTAAAATGTTCTATGTATATACACATTTCCTCATAAAACTTTATTGATGTCTATGTTAACATCCACAACTGTATGTCTGTCTCTTTCTTTTTAAACACAGGTAGGACTACTCATAGCCTTCTACACCTGGCCGGGTTTTTTTCTCCCTTGAACATTGGACCACACTATTATTGATAGACAGAATGTGTTCTTTTATATGTCCGAGTGGTGTTTCATTGCATAGAAGTGTCCCAAAATGCAGTAAATCAGTCTTTTCTCAGTGGACATTTAGGTTTTTTCTAGCCTCTTGTTATTATGAGCAAAGCTATGGTGAACAGTCTTATTATTCACATGACTCTGCATATGCAGTCATGTAGGACAATTTCTTTGAAGTAAAACTGCTGGGCCAGAGGGAATGAACATTCCTGACCTGGCTGCCTACTGACAGCATGGCCCCAGCGGACACTCCCGCCCGTGGTGGGTGCGCCTGCTTCCCCACACCCTGGCCAACACTGTGCAGTACCCAGATTTGGAAACCTTCGTCAGTGTGATAGTGAAAGTAATACTTCAGTGCTCAAATACACATTTCTTTCATTCTGAATGAATTTGGGCATCTTTTTATAGTTTAGAAGAATTTGTGTTTCTTTTTTCTCTGAAATGCATTTTTATTTTGGATATTTTAAAAAATAATTCAAGAGGCAAACAGATAACCTCTGCTAACCTTGAAGGGTCTCACCTTCTGCCCTTTCCAAAGCTACTTTATTTTCTGAGCTCTTAAAAAGATCTTCACCTGCAAAATTTTGGTCATGTTATCGAGCTCCTTATCTATGAAGCTTTCAGATAAAGATAGCCCTCCAGGACCTTCCCCTAAATCAAAGAAGCTTTCCCACCATTTGCTTCTCTTTCTGTTCCAATTAAGAGTTATTTATAGGGAACCCCTGGGTTATGTTGCTCCCTCCCCCCGTAATGTTCATGCCTCTTAGGAGTTGATGCTATTGAATAGTTGAGCGGTCTCTTTAGCAAATGCACACACCTGTTGGTGCTTATTACATCTTCCAACACCCCCCCCCAATGTATGATTTAACTTCCTCCAAGTACTTTTGAAAATTTTAGACTAATGCTTTCAGAGCACTTACCCAGAATTCCATACGCTCTCTGGTAGTGGGAAGAGCAGTGACGTGGTCTATACAGAGGAGGCATAGGCTCCAGACGTGGTTCCCCTTCCGTGTGGATGTGTGGTCTTGTCTTACTCCTTCGTCTCTCTGTGCCTTAGTGAGCTCCCTAGAAACATGTATGGTTCTAATATTCCATTTCTCACTGGGAACATTGTTGCCATTGTAATCAACCTTATATCTGGGCATATTTTTTGTGACGAAGAGAACAAGTTACTTACGTCTCACGAGGTGGTCTCTATCGTGTTTTTTTTAAAATTATTTTTATTTAATTATTTTCCAAGTACAGTTTTGTCTATTTCTCTCATCCCAGCCCACCCTACCCCGTGCTCCCCACCTCCCTCCCATTTCCATCCCCCTTAGCTGTTGTCCCTGTGTCCTGCATATTTGTTCCTCTAAATCCCTCCCCCTTTTTTCCCCTTAAATTCCCTCCCCTCTCCCCTCTGGTCGCTGTCCCCCTGTTCTCTGTTTCAGTGTCTTTGTTTTTATTTTGCTTGCTTGTTTTAAAGGCATGTGTGATGAGTGTCCCAGCATTGACACTGTTCTCTCAGCTCATCGGGCCAAGCCAGTTGTCTTGGCCAAACAGAATAGGACTCTGTAAGGGAAGCCCTGGAGCACAAGCATGGACGCATCGCACATGCGAGCAGTTGTCCCTTCGGTACCAGGGAGACCAGAAAGGGATGATCCACTACTGCCCATGAAAACCTCAACCTGGCTTTTTTGAAGCCCTTCTCTTCACATTTGTTCTGTGATGCTCTGCTCGTGCTGAGTGGTGTGGAGAACAACCCTCCCCCCGGCCCCCGCCTCTTAAAGAATCTTTATTCTTTTCTAAATCTCTGCTGCTTTCTCTGATCAACCAGTGAAGAATTGTATATGGTGCTCAAGAGATCAGTTTCAGAGCTAGGGAAAATAAAGGTTTGGTTTTTTATACTCTTTTCATCGCCGCCACATCTCCCTTTAGAGCGCTTTACTTTGTTTTTATATGGCTGTTTTTTACTGCCTGCTTTCCTGTTCTTGTTCAGTCTGTAACATTTTATTCTGGAATGGAACATTTTATTCAACTGGGAATTAATTGCCTTCAAGCACCTGAGCCCACCGCGGTGTTAGGGTGGTTTGGGGACCTTGTGGAGTGACTCGGGGAGCAGAAAGGGGCAAAATCCTTTGGGTCAAAAAAGTCCTTTTCAGCCATGACTGGAACTCTACCCTTTCCCAGCCATTCTTCCTCCTGCACATGCCCCCACCCCTCATCGTCTATAAAGGTTTAGGGAAAATTATCAATTAATTTTACGTGTTCCTAGGCTCTTGTGTCCCTAGGAAACACGTCACTGACAGGGTCTCAGGGATTCGCTGATGGCCCGAAAGCTCAGGAACTGAGTTTTATCTTAAGCTCTTCTATGTAAGATTAGTAACTTTGAGATGACCACTTACTCTGGCTGGAATTTTATCGAGTGATACATGGAAATAATTGGACCCTCGAACCCCACAGGATATTCTAGAGAGAAAAAACTGTGATGACTATAAAGTTGTTAGTGAAATAACAGTGCGGCATAAACGGTTAATATTATAGTGTGACTTAACTTCCTCCAAATGAAATGGTTAATGTAGTCTCTGGGAGCATCTGAGGACTTTAAATATATGAATTTGAACATGTGGTTGCTTTTCTCCCACCCAGGTGCTATTTGAACTTGCTCGCTATCACGCCCCCTCCACCATTTTCCTGGACGAGCTGGAGTCGGTGATGAGCCAGAGAGGCACAGCTCCTGGGTAACGGACAGGGTTTTTTTGGTCATCACTTCTCCCCTCTTGTAAGTGTGTTTGATGGTCGGAAGCCCATCGACATTTACCAGCAGAATGAGCCTATTAATAAGCCCACAAATTTTCTGCAGACACACGGAAAGGTCTTTAAATTAGATCCTGTTAACTGAATAGCTGATTTAAGTAGTTTTTATAACCGGAGGAAATGTCATCCTCCCTTCCCCCCTTCCCCACAGAGTGGTTTTCAGGACTGAAGACCCCCTAGTCCCACAGTCCCAGGCTGCCACAAAGTAACAGTCCTGCTGGCTTAAAATAGCCTCCCGTGACCACCTCCTCTGGAGCCAGAGGGGCTGCCTGTGGGGACCGGGGCGGTAAAGAGCCAAGTCCCCAGAGGGGCAGTCCTTGACGAGGTGTGGGAGGCGGGGGAAGCCACTGCTTCTCTGTGACAACAGGTTGTGATTCAGCATGTTCGATTTTAATGTGTCGCATGTGTTATTTCTAAAGATGAAGTGTCTGCTAATGTGCCCAGCAGGAAAGACTGTTCCTCGCTAGTCAACTTCTCAGGCTGTAACGAGCTGCTCTGTGTGTGTTAAAATGCCTCTGCCTGTCTTTTTCTCAGGTGTCCTTCCTCACTGTTTCCTTCCACCGCACCCTCTTCAACACCATCCTGATGTTGTCCGTGTCTAGAGGGTTTTTTTCTTTGTGCCTAATCCCTTCCCTTCCCTTTTTCCACCCAGCCCCACCCTTTCTGTCTTGATCCGAGGTATTTTTCTCTGAAACTTTTTAGGAAGCTTGGCTCCTCTGGTTTGAAAACAACAGGTCTCTTGGAAATCTCAATAGAACCGCACTTATTAATGGCCTCTAAGGGGCTATCACCAAGGCAGAACTAATCAAAAGCAAATAATCAAAGGCAAACAATCAGCTTGTTGGAAGTATAACCAGAATATAATTTATGAACTTTTACTTATTGAAAACCATTTTCCCAGCAGGAAAAGCCAACCACTAAGGTCCACGCACGGGACTCTTGCCATTGATTGAAATGGGATGATTTCAAGACTTAATGGGTGCTGCCAGCCTGGGGCTGGGGCACTTGGCCTCTCCATACGGGGCCTGATGGGCACCACAACTGCACAGGTGCCAGGCCGGGAGCCCCAGACCATCCTCATGGTCATTCCCTCCGCAGAGCCCCTGGCCGCCTGGTCTGCCTAGCCCTGTGACCTGGGTACTCACTCTTACATTCGCTCTGTTAGTCTCCATCCCGGGTTCCCACAGCTGGGACGGAGCTAATCTGGAACCTCTCCCTTCACTGTGCTCCAGTTTTGCACTGAATGTCCTGGAACTGAATTTCCCTGTCTGGAACTTAAACTAGAAAACTAGAATCTTCAACGTCAGGGAATTAGGGCGGGTGCTTGGAAGACATCTTGGGTCCTATCATGTTAAAAGAACAATAATTAGGAGCAAATGCTGAGTAAATATGTAACTGTACTGTGAGACTCCTCTCTCGGTGGAAGGTGGTTAGATAGCAAGGGGCATAGTTCCTTAAAAACCACACACCTGACAGGGGTTGCCACCACGTGCATGCAGAGACGAGCAGCTGAACGTCACGTTGTCCAAGTCAGCCACTTGTTTGTCCTTTCACGTCCATCTGTGGGAGTGAATAGGAAGGAGGGCCTGCTGGCCATGGCCGGTATTTAGAGCCCCCGTACGTGTTCAGATCCTGTAGTGGGCTCTGTCTTGGCCGGAGGGTCTCTGGCAGCTGCAACTGGGAGCTCGGAGGGGGAATCTGCCTCCAGCTGCTGCACAGGCAAAGCACAGGTCCCACGGCATCGTCTCGGCTCTTGTTAAAAGAGAGTGAAACAGATTCAGATGCACAGTGGATCTCTTTTTGGACAGTTTCTATCCACACATTATACTAAAAGAAATACTTCCCATAAAAGTTGTTGTATGCCTGCTATCTAAATGAAAAAGATTGTTTGCAATTATGCCATTTGCAAAAGGGCAAACAGTACTACAAATGGGCAGAGCTGGGCAGCGTTTCATCTCCCAGGGGCATCATCTGCCTTCGGTCATCTTCTAGTTTGTTGCCAAGCTTTGGTTTTTCTGTCAATGTCGTCATTGTATTCATTTACTCTATTACCCTCTTTGGGAAAATAATGCCAAGTGGCTTGTTTTCTCCACCTCTAATAGCAGTGGCTCCTGAGAATGAGGCAGGGAAAGGGTTGCTGTCAGACGAGAACCTGACCCGCCCCACAGTCACTGGCGTGGGGAGAACCTCACCTGCTCGTCTCTGTCCAGGGGAGAGCACGAAGGAAGCCTTCGGATGAAGACAGAGCTCCTGGTGCAGATGGACGGGCTGGCCCGCTCCGAAGATCTCGTGTTTGTCCTAGCAGCTTCTAACCTGCCCTGGTGAGAGATTTTGAGAGTATATTTTGAATGCCTTTTCACGAGCCACTGAGTACAGATGAAAGTATTACAGTAACCACTTCGGGCAATGCCTCGTTGTTTGGTTCCCGCCCCGGAAGATTAATCTGAAGGTTTTCCTGTCTAAGCCTCAATCCCGGCCATCTATACCGTGAAAGCATCTGCCTTAATAGAAGGAACATAGACCAGGGCTCCACTGACAATATTTAAAATGAACATTTTGAGTTTAAAGACAATTTGTCTACTGTGTTTAAACAGGACTTTGGCAGAGAACGATAGAATGCTAAAATCCCTGGGACTCAAAGGTATTTCAGAAATAGTATGTTTGGATTTTAACAGTATTAAAATTAAACTTTTTTTTTAAGTTAGGAGGCAAATCTTCTCTTTAATGTTGCACAGTAAATAGGAAGCTAAATAGTTTCTAATTAAAAATGTAACCTACTCCCAGAGTATTTTATTCAAACTGTATCCCAGAGTGGTTTAAGAACAATTCTGGAAGTGGAATTGGGGAATAAGAGATGTCCACTAGGGAAAGACAGTATCTACGTGGAGAGTGTATTTTTAAAATAATTATATTCTCTTCATAGTTCCAAGAATGTTTTCACCTACATCATTTCTTTTGAGATGCAGGTGAGACACAAGGCAGAGGGGTGCCAAGGTCAAGGGAGGTCAATCCGCCCAAAGTCAACAGCAAATTTGCGACAGAGCTCAAACTTGTGACACTCTCACCTCACCCCTGTCCTTCCACTTCTGCTTCCATGCCAGACATGAAATTTCTGTAGTGCGTGCTAACCACCCGGGCTCCCAAACCGGGGGTCACTGAGAAGAGAACATGGAGTTCATGTGTGGTCTGTCATTCTCAATATGTTCACAATTTAAACCTGGTTCCACCTCCCCTCAAATTCATAAGATGTTCTCTAACATGCTAAGATGATCGGCCTTTTACACTTTGAAGATACAGGGAATTTATAGGCGTATTAGAGTGCAGTCCAAACAGAGATGTGTCATTTAAATGTGACTGTAGAATCCTTCAGAGAACGAGTTTTTGTTCCTGTATCCATTTGAAACATGGCTGATCGCAACATTCTACTTACATCCCAGGGGATGTTGTGTGGAAACAGGAAGTTCATCTGTGGCTCTTGGGAGGTCTATGCCCCCAGAGAGACCTACATGTTCTCTGGAGGAATAGAGAGCCCTCTGCTCCCAGTGTCATCAAGGACTGTGTTGAGAACGTTATTGTGCTGCCACAATCTCCCTCAGGTGACCAGTTTTTGGTAAGCCCCGAATAAAATGGCTCAGAGAGGCAGAATAAGAAGGAGGAGGAGGAGAACAAGATGTAGCACCTGGCAAACAGTCAAAAGTCAAATTAAAGAATCATCCCTCAACATCTCAAATGGCAAACATACACGTGCTTTTAAGCTCGGGTTCTTTTATATCACAGATTGCTTTGTTACAATGTATCTTGGAACCAATATATTCTAACTCATATATCCCTGAGCACGGGTGGGATTTAAAAAACACTTTATTATGAAGAACTCTAAACACTAAAGAAGACAAAAGAGCACAATGAACCCACCATTTCCCAGTTTTAGTAACTAACAGTCTTGCCAAATTGATTTCATCTATTCCTGCCTTCCCCTTCTTTTGGTTGAAATATATTAAATTATATCCAGATTGTTATTTCTCACATAAATGAGGGGGGACGCAAAAAATCCCCAGAATTTATTTAGAAAAATTATGTATTCTTACAGGCTTAAACTTCAGTCACCTTCAAAGTGCTCTCCGTTTCACGTAATGCACCTGCTAAGACTGCTCTAAACAGTTTTTGAACTCATCAGTTTTGGTGCCTTTTAGTGCTTCTGCCATTTTCTGTTTCACCTCTTCCACATCGGCAAAATGTTTCCCTTTGAGGACTTTTTTCATCCAGGGAAACGCAAAAACTCGCTCAGGATGAGATCTGAATGGGGAGGGTGGTGAGCAGGGGTCATGACATTTTGGTCAAAAACTGCTGAACACTCAGCAGGGTGTGGGCAGGTATGCTCATAAATCACCTGTCATGAAATGGGCAAATGTGCAGAAAGAGTCTTGAAAAAACAATGCACCAAAGCCGAACACAGCCTCTCACAACACCACCAGCTGGTACACTGACACAGATGGGCTCCCAGAATACTTGCCTGGTGGGGAAAGCCTGCACTGCAGTGGACCCGCCCTCCAGAAGATAACTCTATATTTTTTGGGGGGTACCCTCTTGTATACTTCAGTACACATCTTTTAAAGATAAAGACATTTTCTTACATTAGCACAATGTCATCATTAACCCCAACAAAATTAATACTATTTCCTTAATATCATGTAATACTTTATGTTCAGATTTTCCACAATATTCCAAAAATGTCTTTTTACAATTGATTTACTGAGCTGGTATCCAAACAAGGTTTGCATTTTGTAATTGGTTTTTCTCTTAACTCTCTTTTAATATACAACAGACAGACTCCCTCCTTTCCCCCCTCCCCACTTGCCACCAACTTGACTGCCAGGGAAGTTGTCCTGCAGAATGTCTCAACTTTCCGGCTTTGGCTCATTGTATCCTCATGGTAGTATTTAGCTTCTTTTCCTTACCCCTGTAATCACTCTAGACTAAAAGTTAGACAGATTAGATTCAGAATCAATGTAATTTTTGGCAAACATATTTCATAGGTGATGCTGCCTACATCACATTGCATTGCATCTATGAAGAAGTAGGTAATTCCCGCTGTCTAGCTTTGAGTGATGCCAAGATAGATCAGTGGAGTCAGGTGTACAGTTCCTATCTGATGCGGACCTCAGCTCGTGGGATCCGCGACATTGTGGATGAGATATGAGACAAATTCACATGGACCACCGAAGTCCTGTGGAGGAAAAGGGACAGCACGGCCACTCTCTCAAGAGGAGAGCAGGTTTACCCTTGCTTTGATGGGATCTCATTTCTTTTCTGGGCACATTACATTGAGGATGGTCCTCATTTACTATGCACAGGTTCACTTTAGGTGATTACTTTTTACAGAGGCTTTTCTAGTACGGAAAACAAAGGAAAGAACGTTGCTAATTACTTCAAAGAGAAGGATGTTGCAGGCCAAGGGGAAAAGTGATTAAAATGGTTACACTCCATACTTGGGAGGTTTAGCATAGACTTTAGGAAGTTACAGTAAGCACTTGCTGCCTCAACTCAGGGTGAGGGATTTTTAGCAAAAAAGAGGTCTCATATCAGTCTACGTACAATGCAGGCTTGATTCCCCATGGGGGAACCTATCCGTGGGCATGGGTCCTATGCATCAGACCTTGCTTCCCACTGGCCTTTCCAAGTGGGAGCTAGGCCCATGCCATGCAGAATGGTCTCCTATACCTATCAGTGGTTTTTAGCATCTACTGATGATCTTTGCCTGAATCACTTATTTCACAAGACTCACAAGAGGTGTGGGTCTATCATTCCTTCTAACTGATAGCTGGGATATTCTCTATAATAGAATTTTCACTCATCCAATAGTGTTATTTGGTTACCCTGAAACATAGTCCGTACTAGAAAAGCCAGATTCTTTCTCTTTGAATTTTAGAGTCATGAGTTGGTGTCCTAGCAACATCCACTGGTAACCAATGAGTGTTTCTCTCTCTCCCTCTCGCTCCCTTCTCTTCCCAACCCTCCACCTGGATCTAGTGACTTGTCAGGTATAGCCCCATCAGTTTTTTTAAACCTTTATTGAGCTAAAACTCACATACCATATAATCACCCATTTAAAGTGTCCAGTTCAGGACTTCTGCCAAGATGGAGGCATAGGTGGAAACACTTTGCTTCCTTGCACAACCAAATCTAAAAACAACAAAGTTTTGACAACAATAAATGCAACCAAACCATAGAAAATTGAACAATATGGAGTCCGAAAACAACGAACTGCTCAGCTAAACCGGTAAGGCCAGTAGCAGAGCAGGTCAGGCAAAAACGGTCCCCCCACCTGGGCAGCACACAGGCAGCCAAGGGCACGGATCCCAGGTGCGGGGTAGCTATGGACGGACCCAGGGAAGGCGTGGCGCAGCTGGCTGTCTGGGGTCGTGCATTTGTGTGAAGATAAACCAGTGAAGAGACAAGCATTGAGACAGACCAAGCAGGCCCCAGCACAGGGCGGTGGGCACCAGCACAGGGCCCCAGCACATGTGCATTCAGATAAACAGTCAGGGGCGAGCAGTGAGGCAGACAGGGCAAGCAGAGAGGGCCGCCATTGCTCCCTCTCTGACCCCGCCCCCACATACAGTGTCACAAACCAGCAACCTGGGTGGCCCCACCCTGGTGAACACCTAAGGCACCTCTCCTCAAACATAACAGACGCAAACAGATCAAAACATGGCTCAAGAAGAACTCAGAGCCCCAGAGCTGATCAATCTAAGCAGTCAAGAAATTGCCAACCTATCAGAGGCACAATTAAAAACATTGGTGATCAGGATGCTCATAGAACTGGTTGACTTTAGCCACAAATTAGAGGAACATATGAAGGCTAAACTAATTGAAATGAAGAGAAATGCACAGGAAACCAGTAGTAATAGAAAGGAAACGGACTCAAATCAATGGAGTGGACCAGAAGGAGGGAAAAAATGACCAAACAGAAAAGGATGAAGAAATAAGAATTCAAAAAAATGAGGAGAGGCCTAGGAACCTTCAGGACATCTTTAAATGTTCCAACATCTGAATTATAGGGGTACCAGAAGGGGAAGAGGAACAGCCACGAGTGGAAAACTTATCTGAACAAATAATGAAGGAGAATTTCCCCAATCTGGCAAAGGCAATAGACTTCCAAGAAATCCAGGAAGCTCAGAGAGTCCCAAAGAAGTTGGACCCAAGAAGGAACACACCAAGGCACATCATCATTACATTAGCCGAGATTAAAATGAAAGAGAGAATCCTAGAAGCAGCAAGAGATAAGGGGACAGTCACCTACAAAGGAGCTCCCATCAGA